TGTCTGTGTGTGTGTGTCTGTATGTGTGTCTGTCTATGTGTGTGTGTGTGTCTGTATGTGTGATTTTGTTTTTGTATGTGTGTCTTTGTGTGTGTGTGTGTGTCTGTGGGTGTGTGTAATTCAGTGTGTGTGTGTCTGTGTATGTGTTACTGTGTGTGTGCGTGTGTGTCTCTGTGTGATTTTGTTTTTGTATGTGCGAGTGAGTGTTACCGCGTGTGCTACCGTGTGTGTTACTGTGCGAGAGTGTGTTAGCGTGTGTTACTGGGTTTGTGTCTGTGTTACTGTGTGTGTTACCGTGTGCGTCCTCCTGCTCCTCTGCACCTCTGGATAAACTCTGCTTGTATCGGTGCACAGCTGGATTTCCTCCCTTCAGGAAGTCTTCGGTAATCTGCAGGTAACGCTGACACACAACAACATGGTCAGCGTCCCCTGGGTCAGGTGGTGTGTGATGCTTACCTGAGGCAGGTGTTGGTACCTGTTTATAGTCGTCAGTCAGCATGTTGCCCATTGCGATGAGCAGTGAAGAGAATGAAGGTCTGGACTGAGGTTTCTCTTCCCAGCAGCGTTTCATCACGTCGTACCTGCAGACCGAAAAGTGCAGAGGGTCATGCTGAGCGTTGTCACAGGAAGCTGATGTGTGCGCCTGCATGCGTTGTGTCATACATGTCCTCAGGAGCGTGGTCGGGTCGACTCATCCTGTATCCTCTCTTCAGAGCAGAGTAGAATTCCTGGGTCATGGGGAGGTCGGGGTACGGGCTGCAGCCTGGGACCAAAACACAGAAACCCTGTGGTGAGGGGGCGGAGACGAGGCTGACAGTAGTGAGCAGACACACCTGTCACAGTCGACCAGAGGGAAGTGTGAGGCTGAAGGAGATCTCACAGCGACGTCTGGACCTTTGTTCTTGTTTTTGATTGAAATGTACAATAAATTCCCTTTTTTCTCTTTGATTAAAGTTAAGTCTGTTCTTCTGGGCTGTGAGGTTGCTGGTAATGGTTTGTTCCAGCTGCTGGATCTGTTTCCTGGTTTTGAACTGGTTTCCAGTTAATGACCAATTTACAACTTCAAATTAAAACTGTGTGTATAACTTTAAAGGGTAAAGGTCAGCAAGAAGAATCAATAAACTTCAACCAGTCCACCCCCTGTTAATGGTAAATGGTAAATGGCCTGTATTTATATAGTGCTTTTCTAGTCCCTAAGGACCCCAAAGCGCTTTACA